GCTCTTTCTTAGTTGCTCCACTGAACACCCTAAATCTGACTCTCATTTGCCAGATATGGGTCACATGTTCATGCCTGAACCTGTCAAGGTCACCAGGGAAGAGGTTCCCTCATTGGCCAAGGCTGTCCCCATTTCTGGAGCACTGGGGGAGCATGGGGATTGGGAAGGGTAGCATAACAGTCTCACATGAACCGTGCAGAGAGGGAATAGAGGAGGCGTGGATTCCACAAGAGAAAACTAGTGTGCTCTCACCAAAAACAATGGAGAAACATGTGTGGCTGGCCAAAACTGGAAATATCCCCTGTGGAAAAGATATTTATCCCCACATTTTATAGCATTTATATCACTGCTCAGGAGTTGTCATGGAGTTCTACTCATGAGAAAGGTGAAGAAATGGCAGTAGTGAGTGTTACACCCCCTAACCAAGAAGTTGGCCTTGAAAAAAAGAGGTTAAAAGCATGATCAAAGAAAGTCAATGGGATTATGTTGTCAGTTCTTCGAGACTGGGGAGACTTCGTTCTACTTTAATAGGAAAAGCAAAAAGAATCTTAGAGATTTATGATAATTAGGAAGGAAGAGTATGAGTGGATAATAACCAATACTGTTGAATGCCTACCATGTGCATGGTTGGAACTACTCTTGTCTCCATTTTTTCGATAGGGAAGTCCTTACAAAGAGGCTAAGAAATTTGGTATATGAAGGAGCTGGACTTCAGACCCAGGTTTGTCCAAATCCAGAGCCAGTAGACCTCATCACTTACTATATTAGGGGGTCATTCTCAACAGAAGGTGAAGGCCAAGTGCCCTGGTTCAGGATACAGTGTCCTAACTCTCCAACCTCATCTCCCCATTACTCACAGCCTCCCACCACATGCTTCAAGAGTTTTCCCTTACATTCCACTGGCATTTATGCCTCTGTGCCTGTAAGACAAGGGTTCTCTCAACTCACATTTTCCTGTCAAAATGCCATTCTTTCTCATTATGAATCTAAATTTTTAAGTATTTACATTTAAAAAACTATATATACATATACAATGTATCTTTTATGTATGTGTATTTATTATATAATTTATTATATTTATTATATACAGTTGTTGTTTAGATGCTAAGTCATGTCGTGCCCTTTTGGAACCCCATGGACTGTAACCCGCCAGGCTCCTCTGTCCATGGGATTCTCCTGGCAAGAATACTGGAATGGGTTGCCATTTCCTCTTCCAGGGGATTTTCCTGACCAGGGATTTGCATTATCAAATCTTTACATATTAGTGAAGGTATCTTCAGTACTATAAAAGAATGACTTAACCATCAGGGTAGAAGTACACTTCCCAATAAAAATACAAGCACATATCTTAGTAGATTGTGACTATATGCACAGTAAATATATCCATTCCCAGTTAAATATTATCCGACTTGTTCTTACTGGCAGACTCCAGTTTATCATAGGAACAGTCTTCAAGTCCAGTGATCAAATTTCTGCCTATATATCTCTCAAACGATACCTTTTTCTGTATTTCTGTTTCTTGTGTTTCATGTATAAAGAGAAAGCGCTGACCAATACTTAGATCAGCTTTGTAGAGTAGGACAGGCATTGAATTCACAGTCAAGGACAGGTCTCTGAATTGATTGCCCTTGTTTAATGCTGTGTAAAACCCTGAGGACAGCCCTGACTTAGCTTATGTATGTAATTGCTTTAAGGATCACACTAAAAGTCGTATGTGCAAGCACACTGAAAATTCTGAAGGTCTAGCAAATGGAGGATGATATTTGTGTGTATTATTGTCCACTCATTTAAAAAAGAAAAAATCAGTACACTTCGCTGGTGCTCTGGTGGTTGAAGAATCCACCTTGCAACACAGGGAATGCAGGTTCAATCCCTGGTCAGGGAACTAAGAGCCCACATGCTGCAGAACTACTAAGCCCGTGTGCATAACTAGAGAGTCCATGCGCCATAACTAGTGAGTCTGTGTGCATAACTAGAGAGTCCGTGTGCATAACTAGAGAGTCTGTGCGCCATAACTAGAGAGTCCATGCGCCATAACTAGAGAGTCCATGTGCCGTAACTAGCGAGTCCGTGCGGCATAACTAGAGAGTCCGTGCGCCATAACTAGCGAGTTCGTGTGCCATAACTAGAGAGTCCGTGCACCATAACTAGGGAGTCCGTGAGCCACAACTAGAGAGTCCGTGCGCCATAACTAGAGAGTCTGTGAGCCATAACTAGAGAGTCTGTGTGCATAACTAGAGAGTCCGTGTGCATAACTAGCGAGTCTGTGTGCATAACTAGAGAGTCCGTGCACATTAACTAGTGAGTCTGTGTGCATAACTCGAGAGTCTGTGTGCATAACTAGAGAGTCCGTGCACCATAACTAGTGAGTCTGTGTGCATAACTAGAGAGTCTGTGCGCCATAACTAGAGTCCATGTGCATCACTAGAGAGTCCGTGCGGCATAACTAGAGAGTCCGTGCGCCATAACTAGGGAGTCCGTGCGCCATAACTAGAGAGTTCATGCGCCATAACTAGAGAGTCCGTGAGCCACAACTAGAGAGTCCGTGCGCCATAACTAGAGAGTCTGTGTGCATAACTAGAGAGTCTGTGTGCATAACTAGCGAGTCCGTGTGCATAACTAGCGAGTCCGTGTGCCATAACTAGCGAGTTCGTGTGCCATAACTAGAGAGTCCGTGCACCATAACTAGAGAGTCCGTGCGCCATGACTAGAGAGTCCGTGCGCCATGACTAGAGAGTCCGTGCGCCATGACTAGAGAGTCCGTGCGCCATAACTAGAGAGTCCGTGCGCCATAACTAGCGAGTCCGTGCGCCATAACTAGCGAGTTCGTGTGCCATAACTAGAGAGTCCGTGCACCATAACTAGAGAGTCCGTGCGCCATGACTAGAGAGTTCATGCGCCATAACTAGCGAGTCCGTGCGCCATAACTAGAGAGTCCGTGCGCCATGACTAGCGAGTCTGTGTGCATAACTAGCGAGTCTGTGCGCCATAACTAGAGAGTCCGTGCGCCATAACTAGCGAGTCCGTGCGCCATAACTAGCGAGTTCGTGTGCCATAACTAGAGAGTCCGTGCACCATAACTAGAGAGTCCGTGCGCCATAACTAGAGAGTCCGTGCGCCATGACTAGAGAGTTCATGCGCCATAACTAGAGAGTCCGTGCGCCATAACTAGAGAGTCCGTGCGCCATGACTAGAGAGTCTGTGTGCATAACTAGCGAGTCCGTGCGCCATAACTAGCGAGTTCGTGTGCCATAACTAGAGAGCCTGTGCGCCATAACTAGAGTCCGTGCGCATAACTAGAGAGTCTGTGCGCCATAACTAGCGAGTCTGTGTGCATAACTAGCGAGTCTGTGCGCCATAACTAGCGAGTCTGTGTGCCATAACTAGAGAGTCCGTGTGGCATAACTAGAGAGTCCGTGTGCCATAACTAGGGAGTCCGTGCGCCATAACTAGAGAGTTCATGCGCCATAACTAGAGAGTCCGTGCGCCATAACTAGAGAGTCTGTGAGCCATAACTAGCGAGTCTGTGTGCCATAACTAGAGAGTCCGTGTGGCATAACTAGAGAGTCCGTGCGCCATAACTAGCGAGTTCGTGTGCCATAACTAGAGAGTCCGTGCACCATAACTAGGGAGTCCGTGCGCCATGACTAGAGAGTTCATGCGCCATAACTAGAGAGTCCGTGCGCCATAACTAGAGAGTCCGTGCGCCATGACTAGCGAGTCTGTGTGCATAACTAGCGAGTCTGTGCGCCATAACTAGCGAGTTCGTGTGCCATAACTAGAGAGCCTGTGCGCCATAACTAGAGTCCGTGTGCATAACTAGAGAGTCCGTGCGCATAACTAGAGAGTCCATGCGCCATAACTAGCGAGTCTGTGTGCATAACTAGCGAGTCTGTGCGCCATAACTAAAGAGTCCGTGCGCCATAACTAGCGAGTCCGTGCGCCATAACTAGCGAGTTCGTGTGCCATAACTATAGAGCCTGTGCGCCATAACTGGAGAGTCCATGTGCCACAACAAAAGAACCCACATGCCTCAACTAAGACCTGACAGCCAAGTAAATAAATAAATAATAGTAAAAAAAAAAAATCAGAGATAATGTTAAGGTGATCACAGCTCCAACCTGAAAAACTTCAAGAGATAAAAATAGACCTGAGCATTCCTTGTTGTTACAGGAGGATCAGTAGAAGTACTCTTGATTTGTGACTTTGATGTCCCTGATTTCAGAATCATTCAAAAGGAAATGGACATCGAGTATCTTCCCCCCACACACCTTTACCCTTCTTTAAGAAATTACCAGTGACCCAGTGGATTAGTCTCCATCAGAAAGCACCTCACAGCTTCATGCAGTTTTATCTAAAATGCACAAAGCAGTTCCTTACATTACTTTTGCACACGTAGTATAGAATCCTTAATAATGTGTGCTTTAATATCAGCTGAACAAGCATGTACTGAGCACTAGTACACTGAATGTTGGTGGAGCCCACACGCACACACACTGCAGGAAGAAGTCTGCAGGTGACTGCACTGATCATAGAAGACCGACAAGTGCGGGACAGCTCTGTCTGGGGAGGATCGGAACCACTGCAGCCATGGCAAACTACTGACAGGGTTATGGTAGTGGAATCGGTAGGTAGAAGGAAGCAGGAGGGTTCTAGAGCTATTTAAAATTGATGACTAAATAGGCATGTGAGATAAGGGAGAAGGAAGTCAGGGTTGACTTCCAGATAGATGGTGGTCGAGGTATTTTTATTTTTATGACTTGTTGCCCTTTGTTATGTTTTTTTTTTTAATTTTGAGGTATTAAAATGATGACCCACCTGTCTGTGCTTTTGCATCCACAGTGATATCAGAACATGTTGATACTCAGCCTTCAAATAAACCCTTAACCTGTGGAGGTGGCAGTGGCATTGTACAAAGCACGAAAGCGCTTATCCTGAAAAGTGAATATATACGGCTAGAAAAGGAAGTTTCTAAGTTAAAGCAGCAAAATGAACAGCTCATGAAGCAAAAGAATGAACTGTCAAGGTAAGATCACCTTATATGATACAGAAATTATACTTATGTCTGTTACATGTTGGGGAGAATGGTGTAAACACGTTAAGTTTTGTCTTTTTAGTTTGTTTTCTTTTGGGGGGGACTTTTTCCCAACTAAATATTTTTTAAAGTTCATATGTCCTTTCATATGTCTTTTCTAAAAAGAATAGGAATACAGTAGCACCATTCCATATGTTTGCCATCTATCAACTGACCTATGTTTAACTAAGCCAAGAACAGGAAGTAAGAAGAGATCTCTGAGGGGGCAGCTCATATACACCACAAGTCCATATACCCAAGTCAGTGAGCCCCTCCTCAAGGAAGAGCCTCTTAGGTCCCTTACTGTAGCTGCTTAGTTTTACCTGTAAACATTTCTAACAAATTTAACTGTTTGGCTTCTACCAAAGAATAGAATCTTGTACTAACCTCTACCAGTGATACAACAGAGGAAAACTAGGTGTGAAACTAATAAGTAAAGTCCACAAATAACTAATTCTTTGCAGTGAGTGCTATCAAGCAAACAGCAACATCAAAAAGTAGGACATTATGAAAGAGTATATAACAGAGAGATATATAACTCTTGGTATGGGAAGGGGTGTTGATCAAGAGATTAACCTTTAAGATTCAGTGTGAAAACTGAATAGAAGTTAGGCCAGATGGAAGGAGAGGCAGGTAAGCTCTCTAGGCGGGGAATGGCATGTGCACATGCTCTGAGTCAGAAAGAGTGACCTGCTGGTGGAACTGAAAGACATCCAGTGTGGCAAGGGCAGAGAGACGGAGACAGTGAGGTGCAAGATGAAATACCAGAGGGGAACCGGCCCGGATAGCACAGGCCCCCAAAGGTCATTGGGAGGACATTTGGAGGGGATCCTAAATGTAACGGAAGGATTGCCTCCCCTGGAGGAGACCCTGGCCTTCCGAGATCAGATAGCATCTCAGTATAGGAGGCCCCAGCTTAGGAGTCTGTTTCTTGTTGCCCAAGCAAAAGATAGTTTTGGCATGGACTGGAATGGTGCCAATGCAGATAAAAATAAGGAGATGAATTTGAGAAATAAGTATGAGGAAGAAGGAGCCCTAGGATTGTCACCCAGGTTTCTCTCTGGAGGAACCAGAGCAATGCTGGTAGCATTTCCTCTATGAAGCAAGAATATAATGAATCCAGAAAAGCACCATGAATTATTTCTCTTAAAATAACAGATAGATTAGAGTCATCTACCCCAGAGACTAATTTATCAAATTATGGCCACAAAATACACTAGATCATATCATCGATTCATTTAAAAATCTGATATCATTTCTTTTCAAAACCCCATGATTATGGAGATTTACTACAGTTACTCAGTTTATACTGACCTCATTTCATTTTCTGAACTGTGGAAACAGTCCAAACAGGAAGCATTAGGTTGAAACTAGAATGTAAATATGATAAAACGCTAAATTTTATGTTGTGTATATTTTAACACACACCACAATTTAAAAACATTTTTTTTTTAAGTGTGAATACATTGCAGGAATTGCAGTCTTGTGGTCTCCTTTTTTCTCCTGCTTCTCCCTCTCTCCCACCACCACACTTAAGCAATTATCATCATCTTTCCAGTGAGGTCAAGACGTGGAAGGAGAGAACTCTTAAAAGAGAGGTTCACAAAGAAGTAACTTGTGCGAATTCTCCAAAGTCTCCTAAAGTGACTGGGACACCTTCTAAACAGAGACACCATATGTCTTCTCAATGCAAGGAATGGAATATCCAAGATCCTATGCCAAAGGAGTCGCCGAAATCTTGGTTTTTTGATAACCGGTCAAAGTCTTTGCCAGTACCTCCTCCAGTTCGCTCTTTTGATAACTCAGGTTTAGGCCTCTGTCCAGGTAGGTGAATGTACTGGTCACTCAGAAATGCGGGGACGACAGTTGGAACTTCTCTTTACCACGTGACCCCACGGGGCAAGTATCAACAGGAGAGGACGGAGCAGACCAAGTTCACGGGCAGAGACTTCATTACTTTCTCGGGGGACAAAGATTCTCTGAAGCGCAGTCACTTTTTACCCTGAGTGAAGTCTGTGTCTTAAACTGTCCTCTTTTCCCTGAAATGGACAAGCAGCACTCCCTAGGACATAAGGACACTACGCTATGCACAAAACTCCTTTTACTGAAAGAGACTTTCTTATGAATTCAGTGGGCCAGTATTTCCAGTAGGATTATATTCATTTTACACAAGCCAGATCATAGACTTGTATCATTTACTTACTGATTCGGTCAACAGAATTCTTTACTATCAACTCTGTGATACATATTATACCCTAATGGTGAAGCAATAAGCAAAACTAGATGCAATTCCTGTCCTAGAGCTTACAGTGTAATAGGTATAGACAGCAATCAGGTAGTCAAAGGGAAAATTCTAGAGTGCAGAAGGCCCTGAGGCTTAAGTAGGTTTTTGTTTTAGTAATATCACGGAAGTCTTCCTTGAAAAAGGGAACTGAGCTCTAACAGGTTAACGGGAGCTAGCTGAACAGAGAGGAGGGCGGAGCATTTACTGATAGAACGTGGACCGCCCCAGCCAGAGTAGGAGGGCCCGCAGTCGGGGAAGGGCTGGAGGAGTCTGACGCGGCCAGGGCGCAAGGAACACAGGCTTCTGTGGATGGAGCAAAGAAGGGAGGTAAGAGCCAGACCTGCAGGACTGTGTAGAGAGTGTGAAAGAATTTAAACTTGATCCTGAGGGCATATGGAGGAAGCCTTCAGGTTTCAGACAAGAGCAGAGGAGCGTGATGACGCATACATTTGGAACACATTGCCTCAGCTGTAAGGTAACCCACAGATCATGGGAGCAAGTGTTTGACAGGTGCCTGAGCAAGGGGACAGCATGAACTTGGCCAGGTACAGTAGAATCGAGGAGATGTGACGGATGGGAGAGATTTGGAGGTGGAATCAGCAGGCTCGGTGCCTGATTGGGTGAAGTGGGTGTCGGGTATCAGGCTCACCCCAGCTCTGCAGAGGCACTGTCCATAGAGATGGGGAAGGAGAGAAGCTCTGTAATATGTTTTGTCTTAGCCTTTCCCACCACATGCCCAGGAGTGACAGTGTATCCACCTGTCAGAAATATCCTATTATGCATTTGTAGAAACATAAAACAAAAAAACTTCATCAAAAGAGGCAGCTGCCAGCTATTTAAAGCTCTGAGCAAAGGTTGCCAGGGTGTGTAAGAGCTCTGAAAAGTGAAAGTTTTAGTCGCTCGGTGGTGTCTGACTCTTTGCGACCCCATGGACTATATCTCTCCAGGCTCCTCTGTCCATGGAAATCTCCAGGCAAGAATATGGGAACTGTGACAAAGAAGGAATCAGTTCATTTTCAACTGCACATCAAAATTGGATCAAGTCAGCACCTTGACAGTGCTCTTAGGGAGATAGTAAGGAACAAAGCAATTTGGAAAAAAAACTGAAACTATTCAGCTCTTTGAATAGTATTTAACAAACATTTAAGGACCTTCCACTAGTTAGCACTTTCATAGAGCTTTTGGTGTATACACACACACATACACATACCATTTTAGAAGAGTCTTTGGAAAAACTGATAAGTTTTATAATCACCTCTTGATTTTATTTGACAGTGCCAAAGGCACATGCATAATATGAACTAATCCAACTGCAAATAAAAATGCTTAAGTCTTTTTATCAATACGTGGATCTTTCTGGTATGATTTTTAAGTGAAATAAAAGGCCGGGGGGATACATAAATCAAAAATTCACCAATTCAGAATTAAAGGACATAATCCTTGAATTAGTATTAATAAAATATCAATCCAAAAAATTGTCAGTTTTTAATTTTAATTATGAAAGGAAATTTTCATTATCTCAAGATCAGCTATCCTAGATTTATGCATATATAATTTTAAAACAATTATGACTTATAAATAAATAGATGGAGTTAAAATGCTTTTTAAAGCTTCAAAGAAAGCTTTCCAATGATGGCTAAGTATTCTCTAAAATACATAGTATTTGCATAGCACACTAGTTTTTTCCCTAAAAATAGGACAAAGGAAAACCAAACCCAGCTTATCTGTTTGATTCACTTTGCTTCTCAGATAGATGGATTCCAACTGAAAATTTATTACTTCTAGGTTTTATGTACAATATGGTTTTTCTAACCATTCATTTTATGAGAAAATGGGGAATAAACATCTTCAACTCTGATGAAGTGAAGTATACCTTTTTAACAAGGAAATTAATGACTGTGTTGAAGGGCCATGTTTTATTCTTCATATGTCTACTGTCACATCATCCTTTCGACTTCAGTTGTATTTGGGTTTTGTCTATGTTTTCACTAAGGTTACTTTTGTTGTTGATATTTTCTTTTTCCTCCTCAGAAGAACAAACTGCTGAAGTGGAGACCGAGAATCCCCAGCCAGGTCCTTGGCAAATGTCGTTAGGAAAAGATGTGCCGGAGTGCAAGACTCAGTAGACTCCACTGTGCCACTTTTCCGGTGGCCCCACATTCCATGTTTGGAAATGTCTGTTCATGTCTTTATGTGTCTATCCCTGGCAGTCATGTCACAATCCAACTTCAGTTCAGTTCCCACTTTGCCACTAGGATTGGAAGATGAAAGAATGGGAGGCATTCCCATAATCTAGAATGCTGATAGCAATATACCTTCTTCTTAAATGTGGTAATCCTTTAGAAGTTGAAAAGTTTTATTTATTTATATGTTTTATAAAGAATAAAGTTATTGAAGGAAATTTCCAATCTTCCCATGTATACATAAAATGTATATATTTTTATTAATGTGAGTTATCCACATATGACTTAGAGAATTCCAAAGCATAATTCATAAATTAATATAAAGTATCATTTGATTAACAAAATTACAGACTCTTTTAGTGCCTTGAACATTCAGTAAATGTTTGATTAGTTGTTCTAGATCACAGCACCATGTAATTTGACTGATGGTTTCTTAGTGGGATACTCCGGGTATAGCTGGCCCTCCTCTCTTCTTCTGTGTTGACTTTCAGAATTTTGCTGTAAAAATACACACATGCATTCCATATTTAGGCTGTTAAGGGATAGCAAGTGATCCAGCCTCAGCATTTTCTAGTTTTAATCTTCCTTTTGCTGTAACAGCTATAGAAGTTGTTTCTCACTTTCCAGTTACAACCCACCCCACTCCCTATGCAAGCACTCTAAATTGGTTTGTTATTAGACTTTGTAGTCGGTTGCACTTCATTAGCAACTGGAAAAAAAACCACATCAATTTATTGTGCCCTTTAATTTTAGACACGAGGAAACAGCGCCAGAGTTTCTATCAAGGTAAAGTTTTCTAAACCTGAGGTGCCCACAGATACACAAGGCATCTGGACTGCATGCAGCTGTAAAACCTCTGAAGTTTAATATTTTGTGTGTGGATCCATTTTTCTAGGATACTAAGGTCCATACGTTCTTTTGTCATATCCCCAGAGGGGTCTCTGATCTATAAGGAACTATGGTTTTAGAAAGTATCTGATACTTTATATCATGCGATTTTGAAAAACCACACAAAACAGCAAGATGCACTTAGAAGAGAGTTAGTGACTTCAAGACATTCTTGGCTCTTTGGTAAGAATATTTATTCAGAGAAAGAGGTTATGAATTGCATCACAGTCGTCATTCTAAAGTCTGTGGATTGGGTATTTTCCCTTATCTTGACACTGCCATGGGAATTCACTGCGCTAAGGGGAAAGCGTCCCCTCCTCTAATCCTCTCACCGGGGCCTGTTTCTGCTTCCACAGTGACCCAAACAAGACGCTGTAGCAGCACCGCAGGCTGATTCTTCACGGTGTCTGCTTCCCCCAGAGCATTGAGTAGTGTAGGTGAGTTCACCTGAGTAACAAAACTGCGCTCTGCGCATGCTCAGTCACACATCGTGGCCAACTCTGCGACCCCGTGGACTGCAGCCCGCCAGGCTCCTCTGTCCGCGGGATTTCCCAGGCAAGAATACTGGAGTGAGTCGCCGTTCCTTTCTCCAGGGAAACTAAAGGCCATTAAAAATAAAATTAGTCATCGGGTTTCCAGTCTAACAGAATGTTGCTTAACTCTGAATTTGGGTGTCCGGTTCCTTCCTCAGATTTGGGACGTTTGGGGGCCATTATTTCTTCAAATCAACTTTTTGTCCCCTTCTCTTCTGGAAGTACCACCATATGTTAGTCCACTAAGTATGCCCCATAAGTACCTTAGGCTCTCGACACTTTTCTTTTTTCCTTTATGCTTTTCTGACTGGATAATTTCAAATGACCAATTTGTTGATTCTTCTGCTTGATCAAGTTGGCTGTTCAACCCCTCTAGTGAATTTTGCAATTTGATTATTCTTCAGCACCAGAATGTTTGGTTCTTCTTCATAGTTTCTATTTACTTGTTAATATTTTCATGCTGTTCATGCATTATTTTCCCAAATTCATTTAGTTGTCCGTATTTCTTATAGATCATTGAGCTTCTGTTATTTTTAATTCTTTGATAGGTGATTCTTAGATCACCTTTTCTTTTTTTTTTGAGTTTGTTTCTGGAGATTTATCTTGTTTCTCAATAGTCCATGTTTGTGTACCTTCTGATGTTTTGCTGGGTTTTATGCATTTGAAAAAAAGCAGCCACCTCTTCTAGTGTCATACAGGGAAACATCTTCATCAATCAGCTCGTTTATAGATTCTGGGGGGGCCTCTGAAACCTTTGGGGGGTATGCCACTTCTCTGGGCTTGCGTGTGAGATTTACCAACTAAAGGGTTGCCAATTCTTTTTCAGGAGCTCATGATCTCCCTCTGGTGTCTGTCTTCAGTACTGCAGGCTCTTTGGTGCTGCAGCAGCAAGTCACACAACTGGCCTTTTTTCTCATCGGCCCCCAGGCATCCAAAGTATATCAGCTTCCCCATCAGCACCCCAAGTCAGGCGAAACACAAACCAGTCTCTTGTGCAGCCATTCAGAAAGCTCTGGGACACCAGACACCCACTCTCCTCTTCCCTCCCAAGCATGAAGCCTCCGGGGGCACCTGGTCCCGACTGCAGAGCCACAGCAGTCTTGGCAGGCTCTCTGGTGCCAAGCCACGCCAGTTCCACCGACGCTCCGAGTCAGGGCAGAGTAACCAGTCACTCGGACTCCCCTCAGAAAGCTGGAACTTCGGGTGAGCCTTCCACTCTCCTCTTTCCCCACTGCCCGTGATGGGGAAGCAGCCGGGGCTAAGCTTTGCGAGCCGAGGGAGGGGTGGGTGCAGGTGAAGTGAAACAGCTCTTCTCACCTGCTTCAGTGGGGCCGTTCCCAGCTCTGCCCTGACCTGGGGTACTGCCACCAGGGAAGCCCTTCTTAACTGGCTTCTAAAGTTTCACAAAAGTGTTTTGGCCCATATATTGTTGTTAAGTCGGTGTCTGTTAGGGAAAGAGAGCTTCTGTTCCTCCATCTCTCTGATATCTCCCTTAGTACATTGTTTACCCCTAATTATAACAGGTTTCAATATTGTGAGTGACTGCAAAGGAATGATTATGAGAATCAGCAATGGAAACTCATAAGAATGTTAAAAAAAAATACTATGGTCAGACAATACTAAAATGATCTGAAAAGCAAAATTATGACCAAAGAAGACAAAATATTCATAGGAAACATGTTCTCGAGCCTCGCAGAATTATTACCTAGACCCTACCATTCATATTCAGCAAATAAACAACCATCTACTGCGTGCTCATCATCGGTCTAGGCACCCAAATGTACCGCCTTTGTGGAACTTTTTGTATTTGGAAAACAAATAACTCATATAGTCTTAATATAAACTGATCACAATGTAAAGTGAAAAAGTTATAGTCCCTAGCTTTGGAGAAATTTAGTCCACTGAATACAAATGGTTAGGCAGATATTTGCATTACCATGTGACAGGTGGTCATAAAGTAACCATACTGTTGAAGATCAGGGGATGAAGGAAGGCTGCCTCAAGAAAAAGTATCAGAGTTGGCCTTGGCCAGGGAACTCTCATGTTCATTAAATGTGCATTCCAAAATCTTCAAAAGTCAAAGAAAAAGGATTGTTATTAAAGCAAGGAGCACAGCTGGATAATGGTTTCAGATCATTAGACTCAACATTATAAACTATAGTAGGGCAATGAGGTTCTGTTACCAAAAACTAGGCCAAGGTGTTTTGGGTTTTGGTGCCTTTTTTTTTTAAGGACAATATTTGCTTCCACTATAATTGAATTGTTAATAATGTTTATTAAGTACAAAAACACTGTTTTATTAAGTACTCCAATACTTTGGCCACCTGATGGGAAGAGCCGACTCATTGGAAAAGACCCTGATGCTGAGAAAGATTGAAGGCAGGAAGAAAAGGGCATGACAGAGAATGGGATGGTTGGACCGCATCACCAAATCAATGGACATGAGTTTGAGCAAACTCTGGGAGTTGGTGATGGACAGGGAAGCGGGGCGTCCTGCAGTCCATGGGGTCACAGAGTCGGACACGACAACCGAACAGCTAAGTACAAAACTGGCATGTTGTACTGATGGTTTCACGTGCCGAGTCCTTCCTCCTCATGACATCCCGGAGGTAAGTGCCATGGTTGTTTTACAGATGAGAAAACTGAGATTTGTAGAGTCGAGTGACTGACAGCTAGTGAGGGAAAGATGTGGGACTTACCTTCATCCTTCTGACTTCACAGTCTTTGTTCCGAGCCACTGTGATTACTATAAATGCACATTCACTCCGAGAGCAAAACGCATGATCTAAAGAAGTTTATTTTCTCACAGGAGAAGTTCAGGGAGCTGATTTTCAACAGTAATGGTTACTATAGGACAGCCTGTCACATGGTAACGCTGTCAACTTGAGGCTCTCTTCAAGGAACCAAGTCCCTTCTCTCACTCACCCTGCTGTCTGTAACTTATGCTTCTGACCTCACACCAAGTCACAACATGGTTGCCATGGCCCTAGGCATCACAACTGCATTCCAGGAGAAAAGAGCAAAAGTCAAAAGCCTTTCAGAGAGCCCTCAGCTTTCTATCCAAGAAGGAAAAGCTCGGAGATTTCAGCTTACATTTATTTCATTGACCAGCTCGAGAAGCAAAGAAGGCTGGGAATTTGAGAGTTGTTTTCCAGCTTTTATAAAGTAAAAGGCAGGCCAAAGTGAGTTACATGGGCATTGAGAGGCCCCTACTTAACTAGCATATGCACAAACTAGCCTAAACAGCCTCTAAGCTCAGTTACACGCCTGTTAAGTATGAGTTAGTAAGCCTTGTAGAGAGGGCTCACATGATCTAGTACATCTTTTTCCATCCGATATTTGGTTCTCTCCAGCCAAACTTGATTTTTGGCTCTTACCAGCATGCCCTTCGAAGTTCCCCGACTCAGCCTCCACGTACACTGGAGATGACTGCATTCTGCCGCTGAGTTTGTAATGAGTGTTAGAATAGATTGCGTGGGACAAAATAACCATACCCATACCTTAAAAGCACGAGAGAACTAATTTCCCCGCCTCAAAGCAATCTAGGTCAGGGTGCGGGAAGGAAGGCTCCAGGATCTTCAATGACCTGGTTTCCTTCTATTTCGTTGCTAACTTCCACATGCAACTCCTGGCTCATTCTCTCTCGAGTGCCCCCAGAGCAGCACAGAGTAAGTGCAAATAAAAGAGCAGGACTTCGGTAAAATTCGTGAAGGAAGTGATTTCCACATTCTAAGACACCAGATGGTTGGATGGCATCACCGACTGGATGGACATGAGTTTGAGCAAGCTCCGGGAGCTGGTGGTGGACAGGGAAGCCTGGCGCGCTGCAGTCCATGGGGTCGCAAAGGGTCGGACACCCCTGAGCGACTGAACGGAAGACACCAGGAAGATGCTTTTCTACTTTTTTCCTTCTAGCAATAGGAGTTAACAGTTCTACCTAAGGTCCACTAGATGGCAGCACATATACATAAAATATGTGAATGTACGCGTAATTTTCTAAAAACTGGAGGAATTTGAACTACAGATCCCAACAGGCATTACTAGGCACCTGACTTGCTTCTGCACAAAGGTCTTAAGTTTCTTGCCGGTGCAGTGATCTGGAGGACGCCATGAACTTGCGGCTCTAAAGTAAGTTTCCGAATATATTAAAAAAGGAACTTTGGCGGTGGAGGGGCGGGGGGGGGGGGGGGTTTAATTTTCAGACGGTACTTTGTTCTGCACATTACCTTCTTCAGGATTAAATTTAGCCGTAAATTCAGGGTAAGGAGGGATGTTTAAACAGTTTTAAACTCTGCTCAGTTTTTCAATAGCTAAAGGAGTCTATTGTAGACATCCTTTTTCCGGTTCGTCAAGAATTCCTGTAAATGCTCTGTGTCTCTGGACTCTGCACTCTTACTGCGGAGGGTGGGGGTTCAATCCCTGGTCGGGGAACTAAGATCCCATAAGCAAGGTGGGCCAAATTAAAAAATAATAATAATAACACTCTGATTCTAATATTTGGAGTAAGCAATCCATCTTGTCTGATTTTCACGTTGAATTTATTGAAAGTTCCCGCATTTCGCCATTTCAGATTATGTTGGCACTCATTTTTCCCAATAAATGCGTTTTCGTGTAATAGTGCAGTTTATCTAGTTGTAAGGCTTTGGCTCTAAAATCTGCCCCCAGAAAGACAGGGAGGACAGCTTGGAGGACGTCATCAGGGAGCAAAACGGCTGCCCTGCGCTTCAGCAGTTGTTTCAGTAAGCGCTTCTCTAGGTGTTGAAGCTTCCTGGCATGTGCCCTCACAGGGCCATGGGCCAGAAGTCACTGATAACAGCAGGTTAAAGTAGCAGCTTTTTAATCCATCATGCTCAGGATTGGGGGCGGGTAAGGATTATTGGGGTTTCTTCCTTTCTAAAATATTATATTGAGTGTTTAACTTAACTTTTACCATGGTTTAACTTAAAATGTATCACTCACGTAAGCAGGAAAAAAATAAAATAAAATTGCATCAAAGTAGGCCGGGCATTGGGAACGTCCTGCTTCTCCGTCATTCAGAGCATCAGTGAAGTCGTAAGCTAGGCCCTGGGGGCAGTTCTTAGAGCCACGCGCTGTCAGTCTGGTCCTCCAAGAAACTTGACTCCTAGAGAAAGTTACACACGCATGAGTTTTATTAGAGCAAATGGTGGTGTGGGAGAAAATGAGGAGGGAACTGGGGCTGGGAGAGCCGTCAGACCGCGACGAAGCCAGGGGGCTGACGAGGGGCCTGGCGGGGTGGGCGCATATCCTGCTTCCCTTGCAGTCCGCAGGACGAGCCCCAAGGCAGGCGGGCGGGGCTCGGCGTGTCCCCGAGATGGGTTCGCCTGGGCAGTCGTGCCGCACCCAGGCGCCCAGGCAACGGAAATGGCCCGGGGGCGGTGGCCTCGGCCCAGACTCAGAGATGGGGGCCCAGACTCAGAGATGGGGGCCCAGACTCAGAGATGGGGGCCCAGACTCAGAGATGGGGGCCCAGACTCAGAGATGGGGGCACAGACTCAGAGATGGGGGCACAGACTCCTCAGAGATGGGGGCACAGACTCAGAGATGGGGGCACAGACTCAGAGATGGGGGCACAGACCCAGAGATGGGGGCACAGACTCAGAGATGGGGGCACAGACTCAGAGATGGGTCTCAGACCGCAGCGCTGGCATCATGGTCAGTTACGGGGTACCGGGGCTCGGCGTGTCCCCGAGATGGGTTCGCCTGGGCAGTCGTGCCGCACCCAGGCGCCCAGGCAACGGAAATGGCCCGGGGGCGGTGGCCTCGGCCCAGACTCAGAGATGGGGGCCCAGACTCAGAGATGGGGGCCCAGACTCAGAGATGGGGGCCCAGACTCAGAGATGGGGGCACAGACTCAGAGATGGGGGCACAGACCCAGAGATGGGGGCACAGACTCAGAGATGGGGGCACAGACTCAGAGATGGGTCTCAGACCGCAGCGCTGGCATCATGGTCAGTTATGGGGTACCGGGGCTCGGCGTGTCCCCGAGATGGGTTCGCCTGGGCAGTCGTGCCGCACCCAGGTGCCCAGGCAACGGAAACGGCCCGGGGGCGGTGGCCTCGGCACAGACTCAGTGATGGGGGCACAGACTCAGAGATGGGGGCACAGACTCAGAGATGGGGGCACAGACTCAGAGATGGGTCTCAGACCGCGCTGGCATCATGGTTAGTTACGGGTGCCAATTCCGCGGAGCCAAGGTCCTGGCGCCATGTGGGGATCTAGAACCACAAGGTCTTCTCTTGAATCCACGATCAGGAGGCCCAGCTTTGAATTCCTAGCCGTGAAACACTGGGCGAACCACGTAATCTCTTTGAAATCAGTGCACTGGCGGCCAGGCCCTGGGCCAGCTCTTAAACACTCTCTTTCACCGCTGCCCGCCACCCCTCTCTGTCCCCCGCCTTTGCACGACTGCAGTTTCCTCCGAAGGAAACCGCCTGCTCAGTCCCTCCCCAGGCCTGCTCTCCAGTGAGCTTTCCAGAATGCACATCTGGTCATGTCCTGCTCTCAAATCCTCCGGTACCGATTACCCCACAGGAGTAACTAGCCCTCAGCGTGGAGAGCTGGGACAAAGTTGGAGGCTTGAAAGTGTAGGCGAGTTACCGCAAAAAGCCAAGGTTGGCTGACGAGAACAGAGATAAGTTCAAAAAGAAATGATTGGATGCACTCTTTATCAGACAGGTAATGAGCAGACTGGGAAGATTATTTTGTGCATGTGCTATTTGTTAGCTCACTCAACACCCAACTCGCCTCCCCCGACCCCTACCCTTTTCACTTTATAAAGACTGGAAAATAAAACTCAAATTCTTAACCTCTGCTGCTGAAGCTGGCCAACAAAACATGGGCTGGAATTTCAGAGGAGGGCTCCCTTCCAAAATAGAGAAGCAAGGTCTCTGAAAGACTTCTGGCTTTTGCTCCTTTCCTTCTTTTTTGCCTGGAATGCAGATGCGATGTCTTGGGAGAACGCAGCCATTTTGTGCCTTGTTGTGCAGTCAGAGGCACACACTAAGAACTGCAGGGTGAGAGAAAGGACTTGGTTCCTTGCAGACAGCCTCGTCTGATCATCACTTGACTCTTCACTACCTGTAACCCCGTCACTAGCCTTTCCTGTCACCCTGCGATCTGTTACAGTCCAAGAATTGACCAGGTATCTTCTGTACATCATATTTCCCCTATGTCAGACATCCTCAGTCCTCCCTTTTAAAAATCACTGTTTGTGTCTGTTCAAGTGTTACTGCTGAATGCTCAAACTTTAATCAGCAGCACTGTGGGGTAGGATATTCACATAGGGAAGAGTCAGGAGGCCTGACATTAGTCCCGGCTTTGCCGTTGACCAGCTCTGTGACCTTGAGCAGGTCAAATCAGTTCCCTCAGATGTAAAAGGGGGGTTTGGACAGGATCTGACTTTCCAACTCTTATTTTTCAATGACTCTCATAGGCCAACTGTGAAATCTTCCCAAGAGACCTGGACAGACCACAGATGATTGATAGTACAGACCCCAAGAAAAGTGTACAAGGGAGGAAGCAAGAAGCAGTCCCAAGTAGGGAGGACCCATGCAGTGTTTGCAGGGAGGGGCAGAGGGGAGGAAGGTGGTGGGTTGTATCAGCAGCAGAGGCTGAAACGACCTGAGGATGGCTTGAAGTCTGATGTCTGTCTGTCATCAGCTACCGCTTCAGTGTGTGTTAGTGGCTCAGTCATGTCCGACTCTGCGACCCCATGGACTGCAGCCCTCCAGCTTCCGCTGTCCATGGCATTTTCCAGGCAAGGATACAGGAGTGGCTTGCCATTCCCTTCTCCAGGGGATCTTCCCGACCCAGGGATCAAACCTGTGTCTCCTGCACTGCACGCAGATTCTCTACTGACTGAGCTACCAGGGCTTTGCTAAATGTTTTTATATGCAAAGCTAGGTATTTAGGGTAAGCGTTCTTGGAGATCGATGGGGATATTCTCAGGTGGTGGGAATGTTTGACAGAGGTGTGTATCTTCAGGTTCTTAAATGAGTCCATTGAACCATTCCTTCTAAATGTTACTGCATGAGGCCATGGGCTACCGTGTAAGCCATTGAATACACACGTCTGTAGATTAAACCGCAGGTTCCAGGATGGGCCGACTTGATGGGAAGGTCGTTGTCCTCACAGCTGCTGCTCAGGGGATCGGCCGGGCAGCCGCGTTGGTAAGTTATCACCTTCTGTTGCTTGCTTACTAACTTTTGAGGTACCGAAGTATGGGGCCAGGTACCGTGGTTATTTAGTTCTGCTCTTTTTTTTTTTTCTTTCCTTTTGTGCTTCTGTTGTCTTAAGTTGCAAAAAGAAAAGTGGCTACTCCAACTCCAGGCAGATGAAGGAATGAATACTTCACATTTATCCTGTGACATCACTGATAACCTTACAGACAGAAACTTACTTACAGACTGGTAACCTACAGACAGAAACTTATCTGTCTACCTCAGTTTCTCTGCACCATAATAAAGTCACTGAAGGGGCCCTACAGAAGTGCATTGTTTTCTGAAATTATGTCGTTTCAGAGGTAGGACTCCAGACTTATGAGACTATCTAAAGTTATCTTTGCCTTCTAATTTATATCAACCTCTTGCACACGAAACCCCCACTTGAGCTAATAATCCACTTTTATTAAGAGGAAAAGTGTTGAAATAACCCATTTTTCTCTTATTATTTGGATTTTAGTCGCTGCTCAGAAATAGAATGCAGGCTGTAAAATCAAGGAAAGGTAGTATTTTGAGACGTGTTCAATAACTGAATCCTAGATTTTTTAAAAAATATATTTATTTGGTATTACAAAGTTGGGCTTCCCAGGTGGCACAGTGGTGAAGAATCCACCTGCCAATACAGGAGATGCAAGAGACTCGAGTCCTGGGTCGGGAAGATCCTGTGGAGAAGGGAATGACAAGTCACTCCAGGATGCTTGCCTGGAGAATTCCATGGACAGAGGAGCCTGGTGGGCTACAGTCTGTGGGACATGACTGAGCAACTGAGCCCAAATACAGACACACACACACACACAGGGACAAAGTCAACTGACAAGCAAGTGTATGTCCCACTGTTCCAATTAGTGATAAAATTGGTAAGAATTGTGCGAAACGAGGTGAGACTAGGTAGTGTGAAATTTCACCTATTTCATGGGGAAAACAATAGCGACAGTAAGATAAAGGGGAGAGGCTAAGTGACTCTCGGTTCATGAAAGCAGTTAACAAAGGATTTATTTGTGCATTGTGTCTACCAGGCTTTTGCAAGAGAAGGTGCCAAAGTCATAGCCACAGATATCAATGAATCCAAACTTCAGGAACTGGAAAAGTACCCAGGTAAGCACCTCCATAGCTTGATTTTGAGATTGGAGTCTACAAGGGATTATGAAGCATTAGCACCTTACATGCTGAGAGAAAATTCCTTAGCTGTTCAGCTCCACAGGGCTTCTTTTTAGAGCCAGATTCTCTGATATCCAGTTTGTATTCTGTGAGCCTACAGACAAAAATCTGTACATTTAAATGTATGAGCAAAGTTTTTAAGGTGCATACTTAAAATTTTTTCTTTATCCAACATGTCAAAGGATTCAGTAGCTAATTATGAAATCAGATGTGACCATTTAACAGTCATTATGACAACTTCTTACTTCTGAGCCCCGCTGCTCTGAGGGCAGCAGTGTCCAAGAGAAACATGATGTTTTTCACAGGCATAATTTTTTTCTAGTAAAATATACATTTAAACTTTACATTTAAAATGTTAAAAGAAACAGGTGAAAAGTTTAAGAATATATTTTATTTAACTCAACATATATAAAATACTGTAATTTTAATGTAGTCACGATAAAAATTATTAATGGGATATTTTACATTTTTTTCCTAAATACTTGAAACCTGTGTGTATTTTACACTTAACAGCACGTTTCCAACCAGACTAGCTACACTTCAAGGGCTCAGCAGCCACATGCAGCCAGTGGCTGGAAACAGCTCAGCCCTAACATTACATATCACGACCAGAGACTCTAAGAGGTAATTTAGGTGTTTATTACCCCTTATACTATGGGCTCCCCTGGTGGCTCAGACGGTAAAGAATTCGCCCTCAATGAAGGAGACCCAAGTTCTATCCCTGGGTCAGGAAGATCCCCTGGAGGAGGAAACGGCAACCCACTCCAGTATTCTTGCCTGGAGAATCCCGCGGCCAGAGGAGCCTGGTGGACCACAGCCTACGGGGTTGCAGAGAGTCACTCAGTCGCAGAGTGCAACTAACAGTTTCTTTCTGCCACTTGCTGCACCACACTGAACCTAACTCCAACTTCAGAGAGCTTCAGGTTACTCTGAAAGAAATCAGAACAGAGAACTTATTTGGAAGTTGAATAGAACAGGTTCCATGATCAACACAGATCAGTTCACTGACCTAGTTATCTGCTCTGACCTAGTTAACTGCACTAGCCTATCTTGAATTGTAATTCCAACAAATCAAGCTGTTGGAATAGAAACGCACAATAGAAAGGAGGTCTTTCTGAACCTCGGTTTCAGTCTTCCCTTTCTGTTTATAAACTGTTCTTTCTATATCCAAAAGAGAATAATGAACCATGTATTAAAAAAAAAAAATGAAAATAATGACTGCTGCTTTCGTTCGAGAATGTTCAGAGGTTTTTGAGTAGCTGGTGCGGTGTGTATCTCTCACACCCCCATGCCAGATCTCTTGTGGCCGGTTTTCAAGTGTTTCATCCCTTCGTCCGGCCTCTCATTTCTTCTCCTTGTAATTTGGTCCAGAAATAAGTGATGATACCTTTGGCCAGCAGAGTCATTTCTGAAAAATAACAGAATTAACATAAAGGTAAAGTACACAAGTGAAAACAATACCTTATCCACCGCCCCTGCCTTTACCCTTCACACAGAGTCCAGCATCACTGGAGCGGGGACTTGACCTCTGGGGGAAAGAATGGGCTGAAATGAGCCGACTCGCAGCGATTACTGCTGGCTTACTGAGATGCGTCTGCTATCGATCATCCCTATGTCACTGTGAAGTCTTTACTCAGAAAAGACTTCTGTCATTCAATTTAGAGGCTAGAGAGAAGGGGAAGGAGAAAGAGAAGTGTTATTGGGAGGTCAATGGGGAGACTTAAGATTTTTACTAAGAGTCTTAGGATTATGAAGACCCTGCGAATGGGCAGCAGTCCTGTGAAGCCTACCATACAGATATTACCATATTCATGCTTGGAAACAGCTGAATCTTCAAGGCTAAACATCCTTTAGGGATACAGGCAAATAGTGCCCTTTGTTTTATATTTCAGGTATTCAGACTCGGGTCCTTGATGTCACAAAGCAGCAGCAAATTGACCAGTTTGCCAATGACATTGAGAGACTTGATGTTCTCTTTAATGTTGCTGGGTAATTCACAACTTTTCACTTCCACTCTTCTTACAGAAAGCTTTCTGCAATTTTCACACAAAGAATTTTGATAGAGCAAAATTATTCGTTGTGAACCATAATATATTCCTTGGGGAATATGGCTAAAATTTTGGACAGAATTTGTATTACAGTTAAGATTAGCAAGTAAAACAGCCATAGACATGACAGAGGCTTGGGGTCTACAGGCAGTTAGGGTCACTCAAGGCACCAGCATTAACATGAAGCTATTGCTCTTTTCAGGGCTGGTACCAGGCTCATGCCAACGGACTTGTCACTGATGCTCCACTAGGACTGATGAAATAATATGAAAACCTTTTCCAGGAGGGTGTCTTTAAAATGACCCTCTATCAGAGTATATTTACCAGAAGCCAAGTGCTCAGGTTGTTGAAATGTGAATGTCCCCAGTTTTTCGGCACATTCTAGCAAGTTCTTTATACTTCCCAAGCTCAGTGTTTCTTATTGGGACAGTCAGTCCCAGCAAAAGAAGGTTCACGTTGTACCTTTATACACAACACAAAGAGGATGGCTTAACTGAATGTCATGGAGTGGTGCCAAGGTTCCTGAACCATGAATGCAGAGCTCAAACTGGAGCCGCTGCGTGTAGATACAGCCCCTGCTGGAAGCCACTCTCCCTTCTCAGGGGTGTCAGTAGATGCGAGTAAATAGGATCTCAGTAGATACCTTCCAGATGTCCCACTTTTCTTAGGTTGTGTTACATTTATGCTCCTGCCTTGGTAGAAGAATCCTAGAACATTCTAATATAGTTTTGTGGTTTTACCCAATCATGATTCAGAGTTGAAAAAAAAAATCTCTGCATTCATAGTTTATCATATGTTACAATGTATGGAATTAAATTATAGCAACAATTTGTGATGATCTGGTTTATAAATAACCTGCTCATCCTTCATATGAGGATATACACAGAGCCGTGGAAAAAACTAGCAAAATTAGTTTTTGAGCATCTGTTAAGTTTTCAGCAACCTAAGGGATACAGAAATAGAGCGTGTGGTTCTTGCTGTCGTTCAGTTTAACTGGAAATACAGTGGTGCATAGGAATCAGAACCAACCATCTTTTATACTTAATTACATAATTTTGGTCCAGGGGACAGTGAAATCAAGTAGGACTCAAGTGTTTAGAAAGCTTCCTTGAGGAAGTGTGACTTCAAAACAGAGTGAAGTTTATATGAAAGGTTTTGCTTCGTTCTGCAGTGTTTACTTGGTATGTTAGAACTGTCCTACTTTGCTACCCTGAGATGTTGCGACTTGTCTTCTTGAATTTAGACTTCTCCTTGAGAATGTTAAATTTGTGCCACCAGAGGGCGCTCTTGAAATAGTAGTTAAGCAGTCTGTTCTCATTTTTTTTAAAAATGTGTTTCCTTGATGGCTCAGATGGTAAAGAATCTGCCTGCAATGCAGGAGACCCGAGGTTTGATCCTTGGGTCGGGAAGATCCCCTGGAGAAGGGAATGGCAGCCCACTCCAGTATTCTTGCCTGGGGAATTTTCCTTGGAGTTTTGAGTTCCCTTGAGAATGTTAAATTTGTGCCACCAGAGGGCATTCTTGCTCTTGAAATAATCGTTCTGCAGCTTGTTCGCATTTGTTTGGTTTCGGGTTTTGGGTTTTTTAAATATTTAATTTTTGCTGCATCAGGTCTTAGTTGCAGCATGCAGGAATCTTTCATTGAGGCCCACGAGCTCTCTGCTTGAGGCAAGTGGGCTTAGTTGTCTTTAGCATGTGGGATCTTATTTCCCTGCCCAGGGATGGCACCCAGGTTTCCTGCAATGGAACCTGAATTCTTAACCACTGGACCACCAAGGAAATCCATGTTTGTTTTTAATGACAGGGATTTTCCTGTGCAATTGGTATAAATTTTCTTATGTTTGTTAGTTTCCAAACTCCTGCTTTCTTTTAAAAGATGTTTTTGGTCTTAAACTTTTTTAGCTTATGTTGTTAGAATACTTCACTTAATGTACTAAGTGATACTAGGTTTGAATTGTTAATAGTCTTGTTAATGGAAGGGACAATGGTCTGAGCCAATAAAGAACAATGAAAAGGATAAGGAGATTCACCAGAAGTTTTTTAGGATGATCATTTTCCCCATTGCTTAATCACTCTTCCAGTTTCGTCCATCATGGAACCATCCTGGACTGTGAGGAGACAGACTGGGACTTCTCGATGAACCTCAACGTCCGCAGCATGTACCTGATGATCAAGGCTTTTCTTCCTAAGGTAAGGTGACCAGCATCGCTAGCAGAAGCACCAGGGAATAAGTGGGTCTCCACGCCAGACATCCAGAGAGGGTCCCCACTCTGATAATAGCTCACATACTGACTAACCCGTATTGAACATGTATATCAAGACATTTAATAGAAATGAACTCACTTAACTTTCCACTTCATTCACTCAAGGGCTATGTGCCAGGCTGCATTTCAGATGAAGAAGGCATCAGAGAGCTAAACAAAGTTCTTTCCATAGTGAAGGTCCTGTGTTTGAGGGGTGAGATGGGATACTATGTCATCAAATACACGTATAACATGTGGGATGGTTGTGAGTACTGTGAATTAGAAAGATGCTAGGTTATCAGAGAGGTCCAGGAGGGCCTCACTGAAAAGGTGTAATGTTCATAGAGGTCCCAGGGAAGTGAGGGAGATGACCATTCAGGTATCTGGATTGGGTTCCAGGAATTGGGACGGCAAGGAGGCTTGTGGGACCAAAGCAGCCTGATGAGGTAGGGACTGCTTTATCACATCCAGTGTGCAGAGGGATGAAGCTGGGGGTTAGATAACTTGCCCGCGGTCATGTGACTAGTCAAATAACTAGCCATGTAACTGGTAAGTGGTTTGAGCCAGGATTTGAACCCTAGAAGTTGAGCCCCTTCTTTCTTTCCTTTCTTTCTTTATGGCTGGAGTTACTCTGTCACTGTGCAGGAGCTTTCTCTAGTTGCAGCGAGCTGGGGCTCCTCTCTAGTTGTGGTGTAAGGGCTTCTCATTATGGGGGCTTCTCTCATTATGGAGTACAGGTTCTAGGTGTGCAGGCTTCAGTAATTGCAGCTCACCAGCTTAGTAGCCATGATGCAAGGGCTTAGTTGCTTTGCGGCATGTAGGATCTTCTCAGACCAGGGGTTAGTCCTTGCTTGTCCCCTGCATTGGCGGGCAGAGTCTTAACCATGGGACCCTTCTTGAACGTCAGTGTCTAGGCACACACTCTCATTGCTTTTCTGTACCCTGAGTATTCGTCTTGCACTCCTGCTTTCAGCTGAGTGACAGAGGTACCAGCAAGGTGAGTGACAGCGTGTGCTAGAGAGAGAGTATTCCTCCTGAGTCTGCTGCCCTGGCATTCAGCAGCCTTCACACAGCTCATCACTGTTTTAAATTTATTTTACAGGCAAGCATTACGTGCCTTTCAGTTGAGAGCACCACACTCGGTGCTCTGGGGGAGGAGAACATAAATATGAAAAACACTGACTTCAAATGAGCTTGTGAGGCAGTAGGAGCAGACAGCACAGGCTCAGACAATGAATGAGGTTGATTTTGTACAGAACCGGCTCCGTTCAGGGTTGTAAATTGAACCCTAGTGAAATGCAGGAGAGCTGTTCCTCTCTTCCATCCCAGCTGGGTTAGATGGCTGACATGGTGAATGCCACCCCAGCCCAGGTCGGGAGATGAGTTGTTTGATGGCAACACAGTTGCTGATACTTTGCTGTGGACATTAAGCCTAACATCAAGAAGGATACGGATGAAAGCTAAAAGGAAAATTGGAGAAAGTGACTTAGTAATGAAGGAACTTTTTAAATCTACTTCTTTAGCATCTAGAAGGAATTTTTGGATTGGCCCTGGTGGCTCACACGGTAAAGCATCTGTCTGCAATGCAGGAGACCTGGGTTCGATCCCTGGGTTGGGAAGATCCCCTGGAGCAGGAAATGGTAACCCACTCCAGTATTCTTGCCTGGAGAATCCCACAGACAGAGGAGCCTGGTGGGCTACAGTCAACGAGGTCGCAGAGTCGGACATGACTGAGCAACTAACATAAACATGGAATGTTGAACTAGCAAATTTCTTTAAAATATACATTTTTAAAACTTTCTCCTTTTATTTTTTTCTTTTTGGCCAAACTACACGGCATGCAGGATCATCGTTCCCTTTACCAGGGATCAAACCTGCATCCCCAGCAGTGGATATGCAGTCCTAACCGCTGGACCACCAGGGAATTGCTTTTTTTTTTTTTTTGCCTGATTGGAGTTCATGAGAATCTGAACTGGAGTGTATTTCTTGAAGACTGATCCTTAGCATAGGATCAGAGGAAAAGCAGAGGCTATGGTAAAAGACGAAGCTTAGGTCAGATGGATAAGACTGTTGCGTGTATAGGCGACACATCTGTACACCGAGTGTCTGGCAGACACTGGGAAGGATGTAGGTGTGAGGTACGGTGGAGCCAAAATTTAGACTTGTTAAGTGGTAACTTTTAAAATATCAAATGCTAACTTCCAAATTAGTGAGTCTGCCTAAGAGGTAAAGCATTTAACAATAATCCATGTGAGTCAGTGACACTCATGTGTAAAAAATCCCAAGAGATATTAATGACTGGGATGAGAAATCAGAAGGCATCACTTCTTCAAGTGACCCTAACTGACTTGACCTGGGGTCTTGGAATCAGGTGTCGGAAGACCTTAGGCAGGCCTGAGCCCTGCCCCTAAGTCACCATGGGACCTGGGAGGTGAGTGCACTCTCTCAGCATCTGTTTCTTCTATTTAAAATGAGGGTGACAGATTCCACAATCCTTTCTAGCTGTAATTATGTTTCTTAACTATGGTGTACATGTACCAGCTTAGAAATCTCCAGGGGAAGCCAGAGTTTGGAGTCTAGGCAGATTTGTAAGGCCAGGTGGTCAAAACACAGGAATAATACTAGAAATTTTTGTTCATGAATTGTTATGGTTGTTGCTCAGTCGTGTCTGACTCTTTGCAACCCCGTGGACTCCAGGGTTCCTGAATAAGCATACAGATAACCATTCCAAGACTCAAAGAGCACTGAAAAAGCAGAGAATAAATTAAAAATACTGTAAAAGGAGGTCAGTGCAGAATCCAAGGCCCACCAGAAGAGAAGATCCAGTACAGCAAGGATCCGGGAGGGTCTTAGATATTTGGGGGTCTTCCTCCTTTGCTGAATCTTAGCAGAGTCCCTCACACATTGAGGTGCTGAGCAGACATTTGCTGGATGAAGAAATGAATCTCGGTTGTCAGTCCGGGTGGAGGTCAGGCATGGACTCGCTGAAGACAAGCCAAGGTCTGCCAAATTTAGGAGCTGAGCTCTGGTCAGGGAGGGCAGAAGGGCTCACAGTGGGACTCACCAGATTCAGCAAGAGGGACCCTTGAGAGATCTTTGCAGCACCTGCCTGAGTCTCTAGATGTCAATGCTTCACAGCCCTGCCGTGTCCGGCACTTCATCTTATTGTCGCACCTGCCAGAGAGGAGCATTCCCAGCAAGACAGCAGGTCTGAGCTGGTGGCGAGAAGGCAGCGTGGGAGGAAGGCAAGGACTGTGGGCTCTGGAATCAGCCGGCAGACCTGGGCTAAACGCGTAGTCCAAGGGTTAGAGGGCAGCATTAACATGTCCCAGGTGACTGTACGCCAAAGTTCTGCCTGAGGAATCTATTGCATTTCAGAAGATCGGAGACCGAACTTATTCAATAGTCCATCTTTATAAATTAAACTCTGTGTGGGTGTGCGTGCTCAATCACGTTATCATGTCTGTGTCTTTGTGACCCCATGGACTGTAGCCCACCAGGCTCTTCTGTCCGTGGAATTCTCCAGGCAAGAATACTGGAGTGGGTTGCCATTCCATTTTCCAGGGGACCTTCCCCACCCAGGGATTGAACCCATGTCTCTTGTGTCTGTCTCCTGCATAGGCAGGCAGATTCTTTATCACTGAGCCACCCGAGGAGCCCCAGCTGGGCTACATATATTCCATGGGCTTCCCGTGTGGCTCAGTGGTAAAGAATCCACCTGTCAATGCAGGAGACACAGGAGATGCAGGCTCGATCCCTGAGTTGGGAAGATCCCCTAGAAAAGGGACTGGCCACCCACTCGAGTATTCTTGCCTGGATAATTCCATGGACAGAGGAGCCTGGTGGGTGACAGTCCATGGGGTCACAGAGAGTCAGACGTGACTGAGTGACTGGGAACGCACAGCACATGTATCCCATGTGTATTTCAGTTACAACTCGGTGAGACTGGGGAATTAACTAAAGTCAGTCAGTCCAGTTCAGTTCAGTCGCTCAGTCATGTCCGACTCTGTGACCCCATGAACCGCAGCACGCCAGGCCTCCCTGTCCATCACCAACTCCCAGAGTCCATCCAAATCCACGTCCATTGAGTCGGTGATGCCATCCAACCATTTCACCCTCTGTCATCCCCTTCTCCTCCTGCCCTCAATCCTTCCCAGAATCAGGGTCTTTTCCAATGAGTCAACTCTTCGCATCAGGTGGCCAAACTATTGGAGTTTCAGCTTCAACATCAGTCCTTCCAATGAACACCCAGGACTGATTTCCTTTAGGATGGACTGGTTGGATCTCCTTGCTATCCAAGGGACATTCAAGAGTCTTCTCCAACACCACAGTTCAAAAGCATCAATTCTTCAGCATTCAGCTTTCTTTATAGCCCAACTCTCACATCCACACATGACCACTGGAAAAACCATAGCCTTGACTAGACAGACCTTTGTTGGCAAAGTAATGTCTCTGCTTTTTAATATGCTGTCTAGATTGGTCATAACTTTCCTTCCAAGGAGTAAGCATCTTTTAATTTCATGGCTGCAATCACCATCTGCAGTGATTTCGGAGCCCAAAAAAATAAAGTCAGCCACTGTTTCCACTGTTTCCCCATCTATTTGCCATGAAGTGATGGGACCGGATGCCATGATCTTAGTTTTCTGAATGTTGTGTTTTAAGCCAACTTTTTCACTCTCCTCTTTCAATTTCATCCAGAGGCTCGTTAGTTCTTCGATTTCTGCAATAAGGGTGGTGTCATCTGCATATCTGAGGTTATTGATATTTCTCCCAGCAATCTTGATTCCAGCTTGTGCTTCTTCTAGCCCAGCGTTTCTCATGATGCATATAAGTTAACTTATATGCATATAACTTACTCTGCATATAAGTTAAATAAGCAGGGTGACAATATACAGCCTTAACATACTCCTTTTCCTATTTGGAACCAGTCTGTTGTTCCATGTCCAGTTCTAACTGTTGCTTCCTGACCTGCATACAGATTTCTCAAGAGGTTATCTTATTTGATAAAATGGATAAGAAAATAATTTTAAGCCTTAATTTTCAGCACTGTTATACTTTGCTAATTTTCCTAGTCTTTTATTATGAGGACTCCTCTTTATCATATAGACACACAAGTTGGGTTAAATATTTTCTTTTTCTGCCACCTTGACCTCAGTCTCTCCTTGTGTCCTTTTAGTCCATCCAACATAAGACCTTATGGTTATTTTAGACTTTCTGCTCTTAAGTACAGTTAGTAGCTAAGTATCAAAACAGAAAGTAAGAATGCCAGAAGGAAACATAGAATCTTGGCCAACTCATCTCTGGGTCATTGAACCATTTGCCTTCTCCATTCCTCATCTCTTTGAAAGCTGCTGGAGAAACTTGCCCCAACGGAAGTGATTTTTTTTCTTAGAGCCTTTACACTGCCTACGGAGACTCCTCCCTCGTAGAAACTCTGTGTGTCCTTGCCTTTCGCAGCAGGGCGTGTCCCGGTTTTCCTTCCTGTGTTCTCCATCTCCCCCAGCACTTATTCTGACTCTTCACCATCTCCGCCTTGTTCCCTACAGTCATCCCCACGCCCTCTGATTTCAATGCGTTAGTGCCCATATTACCACCAAAATCTTGACTTTCTCTGCCCACGGATGCGGAATAAATAAGTATAGAGACAGAGCTTGGAGAGAGGAGGAAAATGGCTTTAATCCCCAGTGGGCCAAGAGGAGTACACAGCAGGTTACTACCTCAAGAACTGTGCCCCCCACATGCAGAATCTGAGGGCATCATATAGATTGGGCTCACAGTTTGGGGTATGTGATAAGGAGTGAAGTAGTGAGAGTGTTGCATGCTTCTTGTTTCAAAACAGTCAGAGCTGGCATCTGCTGCTGCTGCTAAGTCACGTCAGTCGTGTCCGACTCTGTGCGACCCCATATACAGCTGCCCACCAGGCTCCCCCGTCCGTCCCTGGGATTCTCCAGGCAAGGACACTGGAGTGGATTGCCATTTCCTTCTCCAATGCATGAAAGTGAAAAGTGAAAGTGAAGTCACTCAGTCGTGTCTGACTCTTAGCGACCCCGTGGACTGTAGCCTACCAGGCTCCGCTGTCCCTGGGATTCTCCAGGCAAGAACACTGGAGTGAGTTGCCATCAGGTAGCCCATAATTGGGCCTGGTAGTCCAGTAACTAGGTCCATTTGTCTGTGGTTTATCATACTGTGGCCCTCTTTTGAAATGCAAAACGCTGCAAGGGGCAGTCTGCAAAAGAAGGGGGACTGGTCCACGATGTAATTTACATAGAGTTAAGGGGCAGTAGGTGCAGGTTGTAATTTACATAGTGTCTGGTTAGTTTTGTGAGATATAGACTAGTAACCGTTACAGTTAAGCTGGGAGTGATTAACTCTTTCAGGTCTGTTTATATTTCTTCTCCAGTCTGGTCAGTTTCTTTTCCTTTCCTTGTTCTCAGCAGAGGAAAATCTTCATTTCTGTTTTTGCTGCAACACCCATCAGACAGGCATTCTCTCCAACTCTTGATTCTTCCCCCTCAAACATTCATGGGTGGGAACCCATGTGAATCTGCCTGCAATGCAGGAGACCTGGGTTCAATCCCTTAGTCGGGCCTGGAGAAGGAAATGGCAACCCACTCCAGTATTCTTGCCTAGAAAATCCCATGGACAGAGGAGCCTGGCGGACTACAGTCCATGGGCTGGCAAAGAGTCAGACACGACTGAGTGACTAACACTTTCACACTACCCATGCCCTTGCACAGATGTGTATTTCTTGAAAACATACATATGTCTTTTAAGTATAAGTTCCTCTGAAAACATTTTTAACTCATGGCAGCTTTTTTTCACTGATGTACCCTTTTAGGTCTGGGGCAGAGCTCAGCCATTTGCACTTGAACCTAGCACCTCACCAAGTCTTGATTTACTAAGTATACTGACTGGCTGCTGGGTACCCTGTCTCCGAAGACAAAACAGCCACACACCCTCCTCTTAAGACCTTCACACTTTCCATGGGGGCTTCTGACGGAGGTATTGTTGGGTAACACTGCCTTAGGTGGGGTGGGGGTACAGCCCTCACAGCAGGCAGCCAGGTCCCAAGACCTGTCCAGGTTACCTCGACTGTCTCCACCCGTACTGCCCACAGACACCTCTGGTCTCTACCCTTCAGCCGTGTGCAACTCTGCGACCCCGTGGACTGCAGCCTGCCAGGCTCCTCTGTCCATGGGATTTCCCAGGCACGAATACTGGAGTGAGCTGCCATTTCCAACTCCAGGGCATCTTCCTGACCTAGGAATCGAACCTGTATCTCTTACACTGACAGGCAGATTCTTTATCACTGCGGCATCTCCTTTCCTAAATCCCTGCATCATCTTCCAGTGATCCCCTGTGCATGAGGCCAGGGTAATTTTTGTAACCTGCAAATCTGAGCACGCCACTCCCCTCTGCTTTAAACCTCTTGTCTCCACCACACTGCCTTCTGGGTTCAACCCGAATTCCTCAATTTAGCCCCTTTGGTCTCTGCAGCCTCCTTCCTCCCGAATTATGTGTTCCAGCTGCACTCATCCCGTCCCCCACTTCTGTGATAGAGTCTTTATACAGTGGTTTACTGTCCTCAAAATACCCTTTTCTTTTCTTTTTCTAACTAATATTCTAGCTTTCGAAACATCAGCCATCCTCTGCATGCCCCTCAACCTGGGCTGATTCCTTCTCTCCACACCCCGCTCCTCGGTGTCAGACTCTGCAGACATGGAGATGAGGCATGATGGTACGGGTGGATTTCTGAGTGTAGAATGAAGGAGCTACTGCTGAGATGACATTTCTGCTGCACTTGGATCAGAATGGTAGTTCTACAGGCAGGCAGGGACTGAGTCGTCTGTCTTTGAATCACTGGTCGTGATTCTGTACCTGACCACAGTAGGTATTCAACAAGAATGTGTTAAATGGTAAGAGTTTTCCATCAGGAACACACAGTAACACTAACATTCATCAGCCTTTCATTTAGCTCAGGGTCCCTTCTTGGTCTTGCTGATGCTCTTGTGCCCCAAGAAGGCAGTAACCCCTTGAGTAAAGTTCCTGCCAGTGTGTACACAGGCCGTCAGTTCCCAGGAGTGACTGGGTGAGGCCGTTAAGGCTGCTTCATGGTGCTTAGTGTTAACAGTTAATAAGGTAGCTCTGCAAACTGTAAGTAAATGTACATCTTTAAGATGGGGCTTCCTTCGTAGCTCAGTTGGTAAAGAATCTGCCTGCAATGTGGGAGACCTGGGTTCGATACCTGGGTCAGGAAGATCCGCTGGAGAAGGAAATGGCAACCCACTCCAGTATTCTTCCCTGGAGAATCCCATGGGCAGAGGAGCCTGGAGGGCTACAGTCCACGGGGTCCAAGAGTCGGACACAACTTAGCAATTAAACCACCACCACGTCTTTTAGTTTAGTTCTTATTTTTGGCTGTGCTGGCTCTTTGTTGCGGCTCTCTAATGTCTGAGAGCGGGGTCTACTCTCTAGTCACTGCACAGAGGCTTCTCACTGACGGGCTTCTCTCTTGCAGGACACAGGAGGCTCTAGCTCCCATGGGCTTTGGTAGTTGCAGCTCCCGGGCTCTAGAGCAGGCTCAGGAGTGGCTGTGCATGGGTCTAGTTGCTCCACTGCATGTGGGATCTTCCCCGATCAGAGATCGAATCCACGCCTCTTGCATTGGCAGGTGGATTCTTTACCACTGAGTCACCAGGAAAGCACCAAATGTACATCTTTGGAAGAGGCAGAATTTTTAACCTGCAGAATAGCATGTTTTGGGGGGTTTTTCTATCTTTGTTTTGTTTTGGCAGATGCTGGCTCAGAAGTCTGGCAACATTATCAACATGTCCTCTGTGGCTTCCAGCATCAAAGGTAGGCGTGTCTTCCTCTGGGAATCATGACCCACGGACTGACACATCTTCAGGAGCTTAAGGGTTTGGGGAACAAGCATAGCAGAGATCATGTAACCCACACATGAGTTCAAAACTGCTTTTTTTAAACATACAGATGAATTCCCGTAAGACTCTCAGCTGCTTTTCCCAATGGTAACTGTGTAGGCCAGAAGAAAGTGGCATGATATACTTAAAGTGATGAAAGGGGAAAACAGCCAAGAATACTCTACCTAAACAAGCACTTGTTCAGTTTTGATGGAGAAATCAAAAGTGTTCCATACAAGCAAAAGATAAGAGAATTAGCACCAACAAACCAGTTTTACAACAAATATTAAAGGTGAAAAAGAAAATGCCACAACTAGAAACAAGAAAATTATAAAATGAAAAGCTCACTGATAAAGGTAAACATACGTAAAAGTAGAAAATCATTCACACACAAAACCTGTAGAGAGGTTAAAAGATAAAATTAGTAAAGTCATCTGTATTCACAATAATCAGTTAAGAAGTACACAAAGCACTTAGATGTAAAATATTAAATCAAAACCAGTAATCATGAGGGGAGGAGAGTATAAATTCAGGGTTTAAAAGATGCATTTGAAATTAAGAGATCAGCAACTCAAAATGCTCACATATATATAGAGAAACTGCTACTAAAAAGCACTCAAGGTAACTGGAAACCAAAAATCTGTAATAGATAGATATATGACATAAATCATAGCAATACTTTTAAAATCAATCTCCTAAAGGCAATAAAAACAGAAAATGAATGAATAGAAACTAATTAAACTTAAAAACTTCTGCACAGCAAAGGAAATGACTGACAAAAGGAAAGACGATCTACTGAATGGGAGAAAATATTTGCTAATGATATAATTTAAGCCATTAATATCCAACATATAAAAACAGCTCACACAATTCAACATCCAAAAATTAAACAACCTGTTTAAAAAATGGGCAGAAGAACTGAATAAACATTTTTCAAAAGGAGGAAATGCTGCAGTCCAATGGGCACACAAAAAGATAGCTCAACATCATTCAAAATCAGAGAAATGCAAATAAAAACCACAGTGGAATATACCCTCCCACCTATAAGAATAGCCATGATCCAAAAGAGCATAAATAATAAATGCTGGTGAGAATGTGGAGAAAAGGTAACCCCCCATATACTATTGGTGGAACATAAATTGGTGTGGCTAGTCCAGAAAGCAGTATGCAGATTTCCTAAAAAACTAAAAATAGCACTACAATATGACCCAGCCATTCCACTCCTGGGTATATATATATGTATGTATGTATAGAAAGACTAAGCCACTAATTCAAAAACATGCAAACATTTAAGTGTTCATAACATCTTTATTTATAATTGCCAGGAAACAAAAATCTTAGTGTGCAACAGATGAAAAAGTAAAGATGAAACATTGTACAGGAATGGTGACCAAGACCTTCCCCAAAAAGAAGAAATGCAAGAAGGAAAGGTGGTTGTCTAAAGAGGTTTTGCAAATAGCTGAGGAAAGAAGAAAAGTAAAAGGCAAAGGAGAAAGGAAAGATACACCCAAGTGAATGCAGAGTTCCAGAGAACAGCAAGGATAGATAAGAAGGCCTTCTTCAATGAACAATGCAAAGAAATAGAGGAAAACAATAAAATGGGAAAGACTATAAATCTCTTTAAGAAATTGAGCGATATCAAGGGAACATTTCATGCAAGAATGGGCATGATAAAGGATAGAAATGATAAGGACCTAACAGAAGCAGAAGAAATTAAGAAAAAGTGGCAAGAATATACGGAAGAACTATATGAAAAATGTCTTAATGACTCTGATAACCACGATGGTGTAGTTCCTAACCTAGAGCCAGATAAGCATGAAGTCAAGTGGGCCTTAGGAAGCATTATGGTGAACAAAGCTAGTGGAGGTGATGGAATTCCAGGTGAACTGTTTAAAATCCTAAGAGATATTGCTGTTAAAGTGCTGCACTCAACTGGAAAACTCAGCAGTGGCTATAGGAATGGAAAAGGTCAGTTTTCATTCCAATCCCATATAAGGGCAATGCCAAAGAATGTTCAAACTACCATGTTTTTTTCACAGGCTGACAAGATTATGCTCAAAGTTCTTCAAGCTAGGCTTTAGCAGTATGTGAATCAAGAACTTCCAGATGCACAAGCTGGGTTTGGAAAAGAAAGAGGAATCAGAAGTCAAATTGTCAATTTCCATTGTATCATAGAGGAAGCAAGAGAATTCCAGCAAAACATTTCCTTCTGCTTCATTGACTATGCTAAAAGCTTTGACTGTGTGGATCATAACAAAGTGAAAAATTGTTAAAGAGATGGGAGTAACAGACCACCTTACCTGTCTCCTGAGAAATGTGTATGTGGGTTAAGAAGCAACAGTTAGACCCAGGCATGGAACAATGGACTGTTGAAACTGGGAAAGGAATATGTCAAGCCTGTGTACTGTCATCCTGTTTATTTAACTTGTATGCAGAGTACATCATGTGAAATGCTGGGCTGGATGAAGCACAAGCTGGGATCGAGACGGCCGGAAGAAATACCAATAACCTCAGATATGCAGATGATACCACTCTAATGGCAGGAAGTGCAGAGAAAGTAAAGAGCTTCTCGATGAAGGTGAAAGAGGAGAGTGAAAAAACTAGCTTGAAACTAAACAATAAAAAACTAAGATCATAGCATCTGGTCCCATTACTTCATGGCAAATAGAAGGGGAAAAAATGGAAACAGTGATGGATTTTATTTTCTTGGTCTCAAAAATCACTGTGGATGTTGACTGCAGCCATGAAACTAAAAGACGCTGCTCCTTGGAAGAAAAGCTAAGACAAACCTAGACAGCATATTAGAAAGCAAATACATTACTTTGTCGACAAATACAGTTCAAAGCTATGGTTTTTCCAGTAGTCATGGATGGATGTGAGAGTTGGACCATAAAGAAGGCTGACCACTGAAGAAGTGATGCTTTCAAATTGTGGTGCTGGAGAAGATGTTTGAGCTCCCTTGGACTGCAAGGAAATCAAACTAGTCAATTCTAAAGGAAATCAACCCTGAACATTCATTGAAAGAACTGATGCTGAAGCTGAAGCTCCAACACTTTGCAACACAATGCGAAGATGCAACTCACTGGGACAGATCCTGATAGTGGGGAAGATTGAAGTAAATAGAGAAAGGGGTGACAGAATATGAGGTGGTTAGATAGCATCACTGACTCAATGGACATGCATTTGAGTACATTCCAGGAGATACTGGAGGGCAGGAGAGTCTGGCATGCTGCAGGCCATTGGGTCACAGAGAGTCATACATGACTGAGTGACTGAAAAACAGCAACAGCATACATATATGTGGGACCTTCCCAGGTGTCTCGGTGGTAAAGAATTCACCTGCCAATCAGAAGTTACAGGTTTGATTCCTGGGTTGGGAAACTCCCTGAAGAAAGAAATGGCAACTCACTCCAGTATTCTGGCCTGGAAAATTCCATGGAAATAAGATGATGACCATGGGTTCTCAAAGAGTCAGACCCAACTTAGAAACTAAATAGCAGCAGCAGCAGCACACACATATATGTAGATATACATGTATATATGTGTACAGATATAGGAAGTGTGTATATATAGACACCCAAACTTATAATGAAATACAGCCATTTGTAAAAAGTATACTTTTGCCATTTTCAACAACACTGATGGATTTGGAAGGAATTATGCTCACTCAAAGAAGCCAGACAAAAAAAGACAAATACTGCATGATATCACTTATATGTAGAATCTAAATAATACACATACTAGTGAATATAACAAAAAAGAAACAGACTCATATATACAGAGAACAAACTCAGTTCAGTTCAGCTGCTTAGTCGTCTTTGACTCTGCAATCCCATGGACTGCAGCACACCAGGCTTCCTTGTCTATCACCAACTCCTGGAGCTTGCTCAAACTCATGTCCATCAAGTTGGTGATGCCATCCAACCTCTGTTGTCCCCTTCTCCTCCTGCCTTCAATCTTTCCCAGCATCAGGGTCTTTTCCAATGAGTCAGTTTTTTACATCAGGTGGCCAAAGTATTGGAGTTTCAGCTTCAGCATCAGTCCTTCCAACGAATATTCAAAACTGATTTCCTTTAGGATTGACTGGTTTGATCTCCCTGCTGTCCAAGAGACTATCAAGACTCTTCTCCAACACCACAGTTCAAAAGCATCATTTCTTCAGCATTCAGATTTCTTTATAGTCCAACTCACATCCATACATGACCACAGGAAAAACCATAGCTTTGACTAGACGGACATTTGTCGGCAAGGTAATATATCTGATTTTTAATATGCAGTCTAGGTTAGTCATAGTTTTTCTTCCAAAGAGCAAGAGTCTTTTAAACTAGTGGTTTAAACTAGAACAAACTAGTTGTTTCCAAAAGAGGAAGATGGACAAAACAGGTGGTAGGCATACAAATTACTGGATGTAAATAGGCTGAAGGCTGTATTGTATGACATGGGTAATATAGCAAATATTTTGTTAAACTGCAAAGGGAAAGTCACCTTTCAAAATCATATAAAAAATTTAAAATAAATTTTATAAAAGAAAAAAACCATACTCTATTATAAGGCCAATTTTGGTCACAAGAAGAATAGAATTTTTTTTTTGAGGTTTTTTTCCCCTAAACTAAATTTTTGCATTCTTTAAGAATCCTCAAGTGTAAAGTTCTGGTTCCTTAAAACAACCACTCTTGTTGTATGGCTTCCAGTCTTTGCTATCCTTAAAGAGAAGCAAAAGCTGAGTTCTGACTAAAGACAGCAGAGTAGAAGGACATATGCTAATCTCCTCTGGCAAGAGCAACAAAATTGCAGCTAGCTGTTGACCAACCATTGACAGGAGGACATTGGAACCCACCAAAAAAGATTCCTCATGTCTAAAGACTAAGAAAAAGCCACAGGGAGATGATAGGAGACATGCAATCACAATAAAATCAAATCCCATAACGTCAGGTG